CTCTCTTCCCCCCCTCCCTCTCTCTCTGTCCCTCTCTCTCTCTGTCTCTTTCTTTTTTTTCTCTCTCTCTATCTTTCTCTCTCTCTCTCTCTGTCAAAATGTTAAGACTTTTTCTCCTTTTCTGGTTAAAGAATTTTCCTTCTATTTGAGGCTGTCATTTTGCTTTGTTCTGTCACTGTTTGTACATCTTTATATCACAGTTTGTTTGTTTATCATTGTCATTATGTCACTGTTTGTTTGTTTATCATTGTCATAATGTCACTGTTTGTTTGTTTATCATTGTCATTATGTCACTGTTTGTTTGTTTATCATTGTCATTATGTCACTGTTTGTTTGTTTATCATTGTCATTATATCACTGTTCATCATTGCACCACTGTTCGTAAATTGTACAATGTTATGCATCCTTCGTTTTCTGTGGCTCAAAATAGAAACTGGTGTGTCTGTGTGTGCATTCATCATGTCAAGTACATATATATATATGTGTGTGTGTGTGCACGTTGTATGTGTATGTGTATGTATGTCAGTACACGTATACCTTACCTGTGACGGATCTGTTTCTTTTTCTTGTATTTCTGCTACCCTGATGGTTTCCCGGTGAAATGTTTCTGTCATGTGGTGGTAGACTATGACTCAGAACATGGGGAACGGCTTCCAACTCTTGTGTTTTGATTTGGTGTCTCCAGCTTCCTGTGAAGCGCGTCGGAGTCCGAGTCAGAATCTGACCTGAGTGTGTATCTCACAACGTTTGTTTTCTCACATTGCCCATAACATGCTACTACCTGTATTTTTTTCTGTACGCTTTCATTGTTACCTGTTCTATCATTCATTTGTTCAATGATTATCTTGGGCGTTTTTATTTCATTTCTTCCTTGAATGTTTTCCCGGTGTATTTACTGAATGTTAATGGAGACCAGGATGGAAAAAGTAATGTTTTCCCGGTGTATTTGCTGAATGTTAATGGAGTCCAGGACGGAAAAAGTATCAAAGTCACCTTTTCAGGTTTTGAGATAATCAACTTTGTAAGTACTGTAGCCTTCTATATTTTTTGGGGTTTTTTTTCCTCTGTAGAAAAGGTCAGTGACTCGAAGAACTGTGGCGAGATGTGAGTGTTGTGGAGGAACATTTAATATGGATGTGAGTGTCTAGTTGTCATGGTTCAAAATATGGATGTGAGTGTCTAGTTGTCATGGTTCAAAATATGGATGTGAGTGTCTAGTTGTCATGGTTCAAAATATGGATGTGAGTGTCTAGGTTGTCATGGTTCAAAATATGGATGTGAGTGTCTAGTTGTCATGGTTCAAAATATGGATGTGAGTGTCTAGTTGTCATGGTTCAAAATATGGATGTGAGTGTCTAGTTGTCATGGTTCAAAATATGGATGTGAGTGTCTAGTTGTCATGGTTCAAAATATGGATGTGAGTGTCTAGTTGTCATGGTTCAAAATATGGATGTGAGTGTCTAGTTGTCATGGTTCAAAATATGGATGTGAGTGTCTAGTTGTCATGGTATGAACCAGAGTTGGAATCTGCTTTTTTTCCGTCATCTTTACCTTTCCTCATCCTTACTATCATCATGTAACCTTTACTTCTTTTGTATGTTTGTCACTCTCTTGTGACCTGCTAGATCTATTTCCGGGGGTTTGACAGGGTTGTAGAGGGTACTTTGGAAATAAAGCTGGTGGTGATGGGATCACAGTCTAGCAGGCACGTAGGGAAATCTGAGGGGTGGGAGCATCTTTTCGTTATGTAGGAGTTTTTCTGTGTAGTGTATGAGTTCCACTGTGTATGTCGTAAGTGTCTTACACTTGCTGTATATGTCTTAAGTGTCTTTAACACTCTTTATCTCCCCTCCTTCTTTTTTGTGTTTGTTACTATCTTGTAACACCTCTAATCTTCGGCAATTGTATGACTTATTGTGTTGCAAGTGCCGTAAATGCTTACTAAAACTAAAACAAATGTCTACATCTTTCTTCTGTGAGTCTAACTCTATGGCCTTTTGTCCACTCCCTGTTTGAAATGTGGCCGGCTTTCGGAAAACTTTGTTTTTGTCTACATCTCAATCTCGGCTCTCTTTTAAAAGTTTTTGTCTTGTACGTCACACGGCGAGGCCCAAGTCATCTATCTATATATATATATATATACAGTGTATATATATATATTATATGTATTTTGTGTTTAGGACTGTATGTTTCTTGGATTCCTCACAAAGTTGTGTTTTTCTGCGCTGCCTCTTTGTCTCTGTATAGTGTATATTTTTCTCTGCCAACTGCTGTTGTTTACATTGTATGCTTAGGAAAGTTTTGAAGTTACATTTCTCCCTTTTTTTGTGAAGATGAATGAAGGAAGGGGTTTGTGACCTTGATGGTAGGCTATATGAGTGCTCGTAAATGTGCTTATTTGTTCTTGTAGGTAGAATTTGTTCACATTTTTTCTGCTAAAACTATGTATGATAATGACAATAAATGGATTTTTTGCCAAAGAATTGACTTTGACTCTACATTTTGATGTTTTTTGGGGTTTTATGCACCAGTGTTTTGTGGGTGGCTGTTGGGTGCTCTGTTTCCTAGCAAACACAATGATCGTCCTCGTCTCTATTATCTCTACTCCATCTTTTCTGTGTATGTTACACTCTATAGTGGTGGGTGGTTGGCGGGTGCTCTGTTTCCTAGCAAACACAACTATCGTCCTCGTCTCTATTATCTCATTATCTCTACTCCATCTTTTCTGTGTATGTTACACTCTATAGTGCCAAATATCTCCTCAACTATCGAACCTAAACTCTCCAGATTTTGCACAGTGACTTGTATCAATTTGTCTTAACTGATCAATATTTTTGTAAACACCTGTTTTACAACTAGGCGGATGACACCGGATTGTACAAGTCTGTTTTATCAACACGTCATAGTTGTCTCGGAGCCAACACTGACAAACTGTAGAGTGTAGACTATTGTCCACGTAAACAACAGGATGGCATTGAACAGACAGAAGATCATCATCCATTCCTTTCAGTCACCCCTGGCCGGGTATTATTGGCCACACACACACACACACACACACACACACACACACACACACACACACACACACACACACACACACACACACACACACACACACACATATATATATATATATATATATATATATATATATATTATATATAAGCTCTTCTGTTATCTCTGTCCTGGGCCATCCTTCCTAGCTCGTTCCAAGTGAGCAGACAGAAGATGAAGGACGATAAGATACAAGTCATGTTTTGCTGTGTCAATCCTGGTATATCACCATTGGGCGGGGTGTAGCACATGTAGACCGTATCTGTACTTGGGAATGAAAACATTAGATTTTAGCAGACAACGCGAAAAAAATGTATGCGTTCATAATATGAGCCATCAATGGAAAGTTACACGTTATACCGAACAGCGCAGAATATAACAAACGTCAACTACGTATCTCAGTGTCCATTCCGTGAAAACCTTCACTGCGGGTGGTTTGCGGGTGCTCTGGTGTGGTTTACTCCTTCTTTTCCTATCAAACATCTATTGTCCTGATCTCTCCTACTTCTTTCTTTGTGTGTGTATGTCTCTCCTACTTCTTTCTTTGTGTGTGTGTATGTTACTCTCTCGTAACACCTGTAATCTTGGACACTTCTGTATGACCTCATTATGTTGCAAGTACCGTGAAACTCTCACTAAACACCAAACCCTCGTCTTCTCTTTGGTATTTTCACGTCTGGATTGCCGGACACCGCAGCTCTTTTTTTTTTCTTCTTTTTTTTTGGGGGGGGAGGGGGGCTTATTTAAGAAAAAATTGTTGTTTAACCTTTGCACTCAAACGATAATAAACAGGTTACAACGACGTGAGCGCTATGACCCTAGCAGTTGCGAGCGCCGTAAAACCCTATACTACATACATACAACAACGTCAGATTCCAGCCGCTGGCAGACTTGTAGGCCCTACATGATGTAGAGAGAACTCTGTCCTCTGAGCTCTGCATGTAGCACCGAAGTCAAGGTTCACCCAGCTTGACTGGTCACTGGCTCCCTGAGAGAGCGCCTCCAATGTACATGTACATTCAGTACAAGATAGCTGTCCTTTGTTTTAAACACCTCAAGAACATTGTAGCATCACGTGTTTGCGACATGGTCTCCGAAAACCAACCATTTCCGCCTTCAAAAGATCTGAAGAAGAGAAGACGGTTAAAACCTGGTCAAAGCTGCCCCCGTCGTTTTAAGCAAGAAAAATTATGAAATTATGCAAACTAAGCCAAAAAATGTGAAATTATGCAATTATTTTAATTTTAACAAAGAATAATGAAGGAAAATAATCAGTAATTAGGCAAAAAATATGAAATTTAGCTAAATTAAGCGGGGTGCATAAAACCACGGGGACGGCCAAAGTAGAAGTCAGAGAGGCGGAGGAGGGGAAGCTCAAACTGAGTCTGTCTATTTCGGTTTGGTTTGATGGATGTTTTACGGCACTTGCAACACTTCGAGTCACGTAAGTACTAGAGAAAAGAAAGTTACAAGAGAGTAACAAACGTGAAAAAGAAGGGTAGCAAAGAACGGCAGAGATTCTGATTAGTGATAGATAGGAGATGCAAAACACACCTGAGCACCCACCAACCGCCTGCGCTGTTGTTGACAACACAACTGACACTTTCTTCGTTTTTGGGGGGGATTTCCTTCTTCTTCTTCCTTCTCCTTCTTCCTTCTCATTCTTCCTTCTCCTTCTTCCTTCTCATTCTTCCTTCTCCTTCTTCCTTCTCCTTCTTCCTTCTCCTTCTTCTTTCTTCATTGACAAGAGTTTGAAGAGTCAGAGTGTTTTCTGTTCTTTTCTTTTTAATGTTCATTTTTCATCCCCTGTTGCCGTTAAGCGTTGAAGCAAGATGCACCATTCTATTTTAAGTAAGTGTTTTACGGCACTTGTAACACTATAAGGTCATATAAGTGCCGAAGATTAGAGGTGTTACAAGAGAGTAACAAACACAAAAAAGAAGGAGGAGAGATAAAGACGATAGATGTTTGATAGGAAAGAAGAAGCAAACCACACCAGAACACTCGCCGACCACCCACTCACTGTTCTATGCTTGGCCAACTCTGCAGCTCTTTCAACAAGGATATTTGAACAGGAATTAGACTTAGGGTAGAGCAGAGGGAAAGAGGAGAAAGGGGGAACATTTTTCGTCGCTGTCAGGTTTTGAACCCGGGACCTACTGAATGAGAGGCAAATACCGTGCCACAAGACCACGAGAGCTCACAGACAAAGAGTGAGAAATAACAATTACATATGTATGTACATATATGTATTCTTATTTTTACTCTGGCTAAAAATAAAAATAAATAAATTAATAAATAAATAAGGGGAATGAACTCATACAATATCGATTTAAGAGAATAATACAGGATTATCTCTACTTTGTGTTGTTTTTACTCGGCCTATATTCTTGTCATTGCAATTAATTTGTTCACGTCTCTTGGTTAACCAAATCTTAGCTAGCATTCAATGTCTTTTGTATACACCCCTCCCCACCCATTTTATAATCAGCCAAATTTCGCTTTTAAGTGTGCCATTGAACCATTCCCAGCAATACATTGCAAGTTTGAAGGTGAACTTTTGAACTTTCACCTTCACGATGAGGTCATTATCGTTGATTATGCCCTTATCATTTTGGAAAAGAAATAATAGCCTAGATCTAGATCTACTAATTTAACACAGCAAACAGAGACGTTGACGATAAAAAGATATTTTTTCTTGTTGAAAGATTCCATTGTAAGGATCCTTGGCCTTGGTGTAAAAGGCTGGTACTGATAGTATTAATTAGGACTAGGTCGTCCAACATTTCTTCTGACGAGATTTTTTTTCTTACACGTACCCGTGTAACTAGATCTGGCTAACACTTTACGTAAATAGAGAAGACATGAAGGTACCCGGAAATGAACTGTTCCAAAACGATCGAATGACTGAGACCTAAATTAGACCTCATTAAAATATTATCAAAATATTCCAAAGTCCAATTTGTAATGATGTAGTCGATACCTGTTTGACGGCCGATACAAGGTGATGTTTGAGTGCTGGGAACTGCACACTACACCCTCACCAGCGAGTTGACAGACGACAGTACAAGACAGCACAGGTTAACCGGTGTGTACTTGTGTGTATGTTTGTGTGTTGTGGTAAGTTTGTCGCCGGGGGGAGGTGTGGGCCAATTCTAGACTTCACTATCCTCTCAGAATGTATTTTTTCTAGTTTCTAGTATTCGGTTGATTTAATCGGTTTATTCATTTCAATAATGAATTTCATAGTGAAAGTCATTTCCACGAAGTTGGAATGGCATGGTGGGAGTGGGACAGTGGGAGTTTACACAGGGGTAAGTTTACAAACTTGTAACTAGGGCACTCGGCTAATGGACTTTCTTTCTCTACTGTGCGTGGTGTTTTTCTCAATTAAACAATCTTGTCTTTGTTCTCGTGATTAGATCAGGATGTGAAGAAACGTCTGGCCAGCCTTCACTCACGGACCACAACTAGAATCTAGATCTAGAATCTAGATCTAGATATCTAGATATATATAGATTCTATATATAGATCTCTAGATTGACTAGATTAGATTCTATCCAAATTTACAACATTGTTCTTCCCTGCTGTTTCCTTTGGCTTTACTTTGAGGTCAAGATCGAGATCTAGATCTAGAATCTACATCGGAACACAATAGGTTGAATAGGTCTAGATCTAGATCTATAGACCTATTTCGTGACAATATTGATCGAACAACCATCGTTTTTTTAAAGGCATTTTCATTTTATTTAGGATTCTAGGGCTTTAGTTTTAGGCCTAGACTCTTAGCCTCTATTAATTATTTTGAAGTGGCTATATCTATTCGGACTCGAGTCTGAATAGCCTCCCGTCGCTATTCGGACTCAAACTCAAACGCGGATATGTAATACAGGGTGTCCATTTGGGGATCGGGTCTGGTTGGGGCGGTTTGCAAGCCAGATTGAGGGTACAAAGCGGCTATGTCGCTATGATGAAATAAGCCGATCGCGCCCGACTAGTCGACTCTAAAACAAACGCGTTTGTTTTCACGCTACGAGCTAGGCGATGGCCCCCGACCCGACTCGACCCGATCCCTAATGGGCATCCCATATATATATATAACACTATCAGAATATGTATTTCATTGTCCTGAGTTTTGAACATCATGTAAAGTGTATGCTGTTGGAAACACGTTTCCTTACTTTAGACCACTGTTACTTTGAATGACTGACTTTTGTTCCCTTTGGAAGGATTTTTTAACTTATTTTCTCTTCTTAATTTCTGACTGGACTTCCATTTGATCAATGATTTTGTCTTTCTCGTCAAATAAAGCTGGTTTAGACTACCTGTACTGATACAGTTATTATCCTTGGTCCGTTGTTCTGAAACTTTGATTTTCAATTTTTTTCACTGCTTTGAGTTCAGATTGCCGTTTCACTGTTTGCCTTTTTTGTGTAGTATTTCAGATTTTGCTATTGTTGTTCACTTCTGACGTCACTATTACTTTTTAAAATTTGTGTCGAAAATTTTGGCCAGATCGTAGAGAAACCGAGGAAGGAAGGCCAAGGTTGAATTACCTGTCTGCTTCACATCCGTTGATTGCAATGTATGCGCATCAATTGGAGTTTTGAGTCTGTATAGCCACGGGATGCTATTCAGACTCGAGTCCGAATAGCCGCGGCCTAATGATTTATTCTACTTCTAGGAGTTGAGAAGCAGTTTATGTGAAGGTTAAAAATGTATTTCCTGTTGGCAAGGCCTTTCTAAATAAAATGTTTCAAACTGGTAACTTTCTCATTCTCTACCACAATAAGTGACCTACCAGTTCTGAATTCACTTTCAACTGGGTTTTTTTCCTTTTGGAATAGGTTTCAGTATGGGTTGGCCTAGTAAACTTATTGGTTTTGACAAACTGCATGGTCTCAGAGCTTGTCTTGATATGCTGATACTGATACTACTGATCATTGTTATTGATACTGCTGATACTGATACTACTGATCATTGTTATTGATACTGCTGATACTGATACTACTGATCATTGTTATTGATACTGCTGATACTGATACTACTGATCATTGTTATTGATACTGCTGATACTGATACTACTGATCATTGTTATTGATACTGCTGATACTGATACTACTGATCATTGTTATTGATACTGCTGATACTGATACTACTGATCATTGTTATTGATACTGCTGATACTGATACTACTGATCATTGTTATTGATACTGCTGATACTGATACTACTGATCATTGTTATTGATACTGCTGATACAACAGTTTCAGTGTTAGGCAGGGGCCGATAATTTTTCGCAACACGACAGTTGATGAGAGATTAACTTGGTAGTGTTGGACAAGTTTTTGGAGTTGATGGTTGAGGAAATTTGATAGTCATGGACAGGTGGTTGTCTCTAACAATGTCTATATGTCGAAAAAAACAAACCCCAAGGGTCCGAAGCTTGAATGTCCTGGGAAACTGCAAATATTGGTATTTTTTGCACCTTTGATCAACGTTTTTCAGTAAAGTCCTCACAGAACAGAAGTAGTTTTTTTCAGTCCCTCGGGTGCTCGATTAAGTAGCCGCTGTGAGTTCTCGCTTGAGTCAAAGAGTTCTGAGTGCTGGGATGATTCCATGAGTTCTTTTTTAATCACAGAGAGCGGGGGCGTTTAGCAGAAACGAAGTTTGCAATGTTCATTGCTCTACTTTGTTGCCAGTGCATTTCCGACCCCCCCCCCCCCCCCCCCTTCTGCCCTCTCCAAATTATCTCAGTAATTTAAAAAAAAAACAAACCAGGAATAATATTTCATTTTCTGACTTTGTAGGCCTGTTATTATTATAATTATTATCTTATTGTTATTATTATTACTATTATTATTAATATTACTACTATTAAATTGATGAAATTTAGTTTCGGCATCAGCCAAGAACACATTGATCCTTTGCGCTGGGTTCAAATCCTCACTCGAGTATTCCGTCATCACTCAGACTTGAGTTCTAGCTACTGGACTGGCTCACCCTGAGGTCACCGTTAAAAAAAAAAATTGACAGCTGCTGTAATGACCAAATTTTTCAGCCGTTGCTATTATAATGCTTAACTACGTACGGTCGAAATCCTCCCAACATGCAGTTTATTGTTAATTTCTGTTAACGACATGCAACCGCTACAGCCACAAGGTTTAGAACAGAGCTTGACCGCGTGACCAGCTAGTGCATCAGGAGCTCCAGCTAAGAAAAACCATGTGTAAAGGGGACAACCAATCTAGACAGATCAAGCTGTATAAGATCGTACTGATCGATGTCTGACGTGCCTCTGGACACACGCTCCTGTAATTGCTGTTGTTCGTATTGTTCATTATGAAAAATAATGATCATAAAAAGTATATAAACAAACTCAATTTATTGTTAGGGTTGCTGTCATTATTATCAATATTTGCGAGGTGTGCTGACAGAGTCATAAATGAGTTACTTCTCGCAGTCCACGTTTGAAGATATATCAGCTGTTGGTTTTTTACCCTGGGTTCAGATTTGGTGATTTTCAGTTGATGCCCTTTTCTTCAAGTATAACATGATGTGTTTTATCTTTTGTCATACATATAAATTGTACTAACTACACTTATTAGTTTGGTTGGTATATATATATATATACATTTCAACAGGGCTAAAATCTGAGAAGTAACTCATTTTGTCAGCACACGTCACATGTCCTACCGTTTGTTCCAGCTGAGGGAATTGTGTAGCGTGGGATTATGACAGACGCGACATCATGCTCAGACCCTGCCGCGGAGGACTTGCTCGTCGCTCGGGTCGGGGCCGCTCAGTTTATCACACTCAACAGGCAGAAAGCTCTCAACGCTCTCAACCTACGCATGATCAGACGCCTGACTCCTCAGCTCACGGTATGTGTGTGTCTGTGTGTGTGTGTGTGAGAGAGTGTGTGTGTGTGTGTGTGTCTGTGTGAGTGTGGAAGTATGTGTGTGTGCCTGTGTGTGTGTGTGTCTGTGTGTGTGTGTCTATGTGTGTCTGGTAGTGTATGTGTGTTTATGTGTATGTTTGTGTCTGTGTTTGTGTCTATGTGTATGTCTGTGTGTGTGTGTTTGTGTATGTGAGTGTGTTTGTGTGTGTATGAGAGTGTGTGTGTGTGTGTGTGTGTGTGTGTGTCTGAGTGTGTGTGTGTGTGTGTATGTCTGTGTATGTTTGTTTGTGTATCTGTATGTGTATGTGTTAGTTTGTGTCTGTATGTGTATGTCTGTGTGTGTGTGTGTGTGTCTGTGTATGTCTTTGTGTGTGTGTGTGTTTATGTGCGTGTGTGTTTGTGTCTGTGTTTGTGTATGTGTGTTTGTGTCTGTATGTGTGTGTGTGTGTATTTGTGTGTCAAATATTTAAAGTGATGTCAGCCGTATTGTTTGGTTTTGGAGGCAGGACTGCATTTTGTCTGTCTGTTGGGGCCAGCTTACTGTGTGTGGAGTTTGATCAACATCACACGGTGTCACTTTACAAATGTTTGGTCTTGTGGGTGGTTGGTGGGTGCTCTGGTGTGGTCTGCTTCTTCTTTCTTTTCAAACATCTATCGTCCTTATCTCTCCTCCTTCTTTTTTGTGTTTGTTACTCTCTTGTAACACCTCTAATCTTCACCACTTATATGACCTTATTGTGTTGCAAGTGCTACAAAACGCTTACTAAAACTAAAACTAAACTCACTTTTCGCCCGATTCTGTTACCTTTAGTTAGCGTGACTCAGCAGCCCGCTGGAGCTCCCCGGCTCGGGGTCACGGGGTTAATGAGCCATGAAGCGACTTTGCCGGTGTCGGTTAAGAAGTTAATATTTTTGTCTACGTTTGAAACGATATAACTTCTTCCCCATCCCACACAGCAAACCGTTACGCTGATGTACTAAAAGCTCAATGTCTTCTGGAGTGTAACGGATACTGTTTCGCTATAAAGTAATTCTTCCAAACACATACAAAAGAAGCAGAGGAAAAAATGACGATAGTAAGGATGAGGAAAGAACTAGCAGCAGTTCCCCCATGTTGTTCCGGCACAGTATGAGCATGACATTGATAAATCAGCCCATTTACAATTCTACTGTGCATAAGAACATGTTAATTTGCCCCCTTTGGGAATGGCCTAAAGACAATATGTGTCACGACATGGTGGAATCTGGCGTTCGTCAATTTTTGGGCATGTGGAGTTATTAGTATCATCTTTAAAGCTTTTTGATCTGTCTTGCTTTAAATGAAAAAATATCCATTTATCTTCAATACAAGTCGAGATATTTACATTTGAAGGAGGTGGGGGTTGCCTGGTCTCATAGGTCAAATTAGCGAGAAAATGGCCGCCAAAGTTTAGTTATTTCCTTAGCTTGAGAGTCGGTGGAAACAGCAAATTGACATTTTATATGCCTTTAATTGACGTTTTCCAGTAAAGTCCACACAGAAATGTGTTCTTTAATAGACATGAAAGGTGTTGAACCCAAAAACAAAAATTCTATAAAAATCCCCGCCACCTGTGTAGAAATGCCAGTTTCTTGATTTTCATTATTTTGAGGAGCTCCTGGTTTCCCCACGTGGCCTCTCATGTCTTGTTCCTTGCCTTTGTTCTTTGGTCAGTGCTGGGAGAGATATATATCTCAGACATCTCACTTCGAGCAAAGCTGAGGATTTTCTATTCAAACGTGAAGTCGGTCCTGTTGTATGGATGTAAGAAATGGAACGCATCACAGACTTGCATAAAGAGGATCCAGGTTTTCTTGAATAGGTGCCTAAGAAAGTTACTGAGGATCAGATGGACAGACAGGGTCACCAATGTGGAAGTGTTAAGGAAAACAAGACAGATTCCAGTCAGAGATGAGGTAGGAAGAAGGCGGTGGCGATGGATTGGACATACTCTCAGGAAGTCGGGCAGCTGCATAACAAAGAATGTTTTAGATTGGAACCCACAGGGCAAGAGATCAAGGGGAAGACCTCGTGGAACCTGGAGAAGAATAACAGCAATTGATGTACAGAAAAGTGGGAAGACATGGAATAACATCAAGAGGCTACCTCAGGATAGAGAAAGGTGGAAGGTGTTTGTCCGTGGCTTATACCCTGGTGCAGGGTGAGAAAGGCAATGATGATGATAATGATGTCTCACATGTCTTGTTTGTTGTCTTTGTTCATTCCTCAGTGCTGGGAGAAAGAATCGTCCACAAACATCGTGGTTCTGAAAGCCGCCGGTGACAAAGCTTTCTGCTCCGGGGGAGATCTCAAATGTAAGTTGTGGCACGGTCAGCTGTTTGCTTTGTGTCTGTCCTTCCTCTTACCGTGTCATGATATTTCCTTTTTCTGAGAGTGAGAGTATGTTTGTGGTTGGCCGTTGCTCTGCTCTGTGGCTTTCTCCTTCTTTTCAATCAAAATGTTCTATTGTCCTTATCTTTCTTACTCAAAGTTGGCGAATAAAAGGGGTGGGGTGGGGTGGACAAGTGGTGCAAAATTAATAAACTGTGGGGGAGGGGGGGGAGTGGCACATTCAACCTCCTACCCCATGTACCTGTAGGAACAAATCTGTTTTATTTCTCCTTCAGTGAATCAAATAACAAGAGATCATGACATTTGAGTGATTTTATTAAGTTACTGTGACAACTTTTCCCATTTAGGAACAAACCAGTTTCATTAAAAAAAATATAAACCAATGTACAAAAGTTTTAGAAATGCACAGAAAATTGAGGTAGCCAACCCGGTACCGGTACTAATACTGAGGGTAATTGGCCATTTACAAATAAAAAAAGTTTCTTTCAGATACCTAGATCCTATATATTATTATAATTTTTCACTTGATCGTCGGTCGGGGCAAGTTGGAATTAATAAACGGGGAGTATGGAATAAGGAAAATTAATAGGGGGGTACTTCTTTTCTTTGTGTGTGACTCTCTAGTAACCTTTCTAATATTCAGCACTTATATGACCTGTTTGTATTCAAGTACCTTCAAACTCTAACTAAGATTAAAATTTAACGAGTATATTTGATGAATGGGTCTTAATGTTGCTGATTTTCACAAATCTTCTATTTTTGTTTCTGATGTAAATTGAAGAATGCCATGTCCCCATTAAGTGTCTTCTGGATGAAAAGGGGCTTCTAATAGATAGTAGGGGAAACAATCCAGTATATCTAGTATCTAGGTCCTTCTTCTGGGATGTTGTATCCCTGGGTTGGCTCTGTGGGTGGTTGGCGGGTGCTCTGGTGTGGTTTGCTCCTTCTTTCTTATCAAACATCTATCGTCCTGATCTCTCCTCCTTTTAAAAAATGTTTGTTGCTCTCTTGTAACACCTCTAATCTTCTGGCGCTCATATGACCTTCTGCAGTTGCGAACGCCGAAAAACCTCTACTAAAACTAAACTGACAGGGAGGGTTGAAACCTGCCTCCTTTATGATATAAACTGGGTCGATGGAAATGAAAAAAAAATGTAAATTAAAAAAGAGAACAAAATAAAGATGCAAAGCTTTGAGAATGTATCTTTACTTTTATCCTCACTTTCATTTTAATAACTGTTCTTTGTATTAATTTTGTCCATCTTTTTCGCCCCCAGCAATATACCATTCCCATCAAGAAGGTGGTCATTATGCCCAACATTTCTTCTACGAAGAGTTCAGCCTCAACTCAATTATAGGTAAGACGTTCTTGAAGATTTTACTTTTTTCAGTATGACGTTTAATTCTTAACTTCACTAGGACTAGTTAGTAGATTGATCAGCTCAGCAATTCCTGGTCCCAGCCACGAGTTGTGTCTTAAATACATTGACTGTGGGGTGTCGATAGTTTAGTGGTTAGATTACTGTAATCGCGAGGTTGTGGTGTCAGTGGTCTAGTGGTTAGGCTACCGGACTCGTAATCGTGAGGTTGTAGTGTCGGTGGTCTAGTGGTTAGGCTACCGGACGCACTATCGTGAGGTTGCGGGGTCGGGGGTTCAAGCCGCGGGCCCAACGTTGTGTCCTTGGGAAAGGCACTTTACACGAATTTTCCTTACTTCACCCAGGTGGGAATGCGTACCTGGCCATAGACAGCGAAAGATCTTTTCAGAATGTTAGTGTTTTAGCGCCTATAAATGGCAACTTGCACTGTATGCTTCTTGAGAAGTTGAAGTTGTTTCAGAATGCTCTCAGGTCTGCTGGAGTAATCATTGTAAGGGGATAGAGCTTGCTGTTAGGCGGAAATTTGCGCCATACAAATGTTGCCTATTATTATTATTATTATTATTATTATTATTATTAATACAACTCTGCTCACATACCATGTGTTAGATTCTGTACTTTCTCAGATGTCGTTAGGCCATTCCCAAAGAGGGTATATTAACATGTTCTTATGCACAGTAAAATTGTAAATGGGCTGATTTATCAATGTCATGCTCATACTGTGCCGGAAAAACATAGGGGGAACTGCTGCTTTTTTTCCCCTCATCCTTACTATCGTCTTTTTTCCCCCTACTTCTTTTGTATGTTTGTCACTCTCTTGTGAACTGCTATTTTAGGGATGTCTTTATTGTCCAAGCAGACTTTGTGCTGTTGAAGCTAGAGAGGTGAGCAGAGTAAGCCTGATTCCCTGTAAGGACTTCTCTGTTGATATCCGCCCCTTGGTGCTCATATGCAGTTGCGAGTGCCGTAAAACTTTATTATAACTGAAAGCTTTCACATACCATGTTTTAGGTTTTGAAGTGATGCTGTTACGATAGTTCTAGTGTTGACGGTATAACACCTACAATGTGATGACTAACTTTTTTTGAGATATTGACTTATGCTCCTTGATTTCTACCTTAAATCACTCTCTGCAGTTCTATTTTAAAATAATTGTGTGCAAATATTTCTGCTAAAAGTGTCTTTTGTCAAAAAAAGTAATTCCTAAAATGTCTTAATTTCATTTTTTCTTCTCGCAGGTTATTACAAAAAGCCTTTGGTGTCGTTACTAAATGGGATTACTTTTGGTGGGGTGAGTATTGCTGTACTTTTGAAGGCAAGCAAAGCCTTGGTCGGTTGTTGGTTTATTCTGCCGTTTATTTGTTTGTTGTTTGTTTGTTTGTTTGTTTGCTTGTTGTTTTTCTTCTATATATGTATGTGTTTTTAGGCCCCCATTGACACATGGTAGATCAGGAAAGGGGCTGGCTTCCCTGTCCTTCCTGTCAGCTACAGTCTAGGCTAAGAGAGATGAAACATCCCAGCAGAAAGACCGAGATACTCGATGAAAATTCTCCCGACTCTGGGAACAGGGTAGGGAAATGCTTCCTACGAAAGATTCTTCTTCTTCTTCTATCGCGTGGCTGGGGCAACGGTGGGGTCACCACTGCACCTGACAACCAGCTCTCGCCATTTATCTTATCTTTGTCCTCTGCTTTCTTCAGATTGTCACCCATAGTCTTCCCTGTCCACTCTGCGATGTTGTCCTCCCATCTCCTTCTCTGCCTTCCTCTCTTTCTCTTTCCTTGTACGGTTCCTTGTAGGATTGTTTTGGCAAGTCCTGCGGATTTTGTGACATGCCCATACCATTTTAATGTTCGTCTCTTCACTGTGGTCAGTAGATCTTCATGCTGCCCCACTGCGTTTGTGATTCTTTTCCGTACCTCAGCATTTGAACCGTGGTCTTTGTACGAGATGTCAAGAAGTCTGCGGTAACATCTCATCTCTGTGGTCTGAATCTTTTTCTCTATTCTGCTGTCAGTGTCCACGAGTCACTGGCCTAAAGATTATTATTGTCTTTAAAAAAAAAAAAAGTGCGTACACCTCCCATAGCTTGTCTTCCAAACTCCACTCTCTCAGCATCTCATGTGAGTGCATGCTAAAAGAAAATTGCAGTTTCATTTTATTGTACTGTCTCTCTGCTGGAACGTTGTTTCCCTCTCAGCCTGGGTTGGTTTTGATCTTAAATGATAAAAATTGTATTGATGGGTATGTAACTACACCGAAATTTTAAAAACTCCCGACAAAATGAACCTCCCAACCTTGTAGAAATTGTGCGTGTGTCTGTCATACAGTTTGTTCTGAGCCTTACTGGGACTATGTTGTTGTCAATACATGTACTTGCTGAAGTGAAAGAAGACTGCGCTGCGAAGTGTTTCCGCCTGTTCTCTGCAGTCTGTATTCTAAAGGACTGTTTCCACCCTGCTGTTTTCACATCACCTACAACTCTGACAACAGGTCTCACCTACAACTCTGACAGCAGGTCTCGCGTACAACTCTGACAGCAGGTCTCGCGTACAACTCTGACAACAGGTCTCACCTACAACTCTGACAGCAGGTCTCGCCTACAACTCTGTGTCAGTCTCGCCTACAACTCTGACAGCAGGTCTCACCTACAACTCTGACAGCAGGTCTCGCGTACAACTCTGACAACAGGTCTCGCCTACAACTCTGACAGCAGGTCTCACCTACAACTCTGTTAGCATGTCTTGCCTACAACTCTGACAGCATGTCTCGCCTACAACTCTGACAGCAGGTCTCGCCTGCAACTCTGTTTACAGAACCAGCTGCTGCCTCAGGACTGTCTACACCAGTGCTTGTCAACGGTTTTTGTTGTTGTTGTATAGCCAACGCCCACTTTTGCCTCCTAAAAGCGACCGTATGAGATGTTTTCCTGTTTGTGCAGGTTGTGGCGTCGGTGGCCTAGTGGTTAGGCTCTCAGACTCGCAACCGTAAGGTCGTGGGTTCGAATCCCGTCAGGGGCCCGACCTTGTGTCCTTGGGAAAGGCACTTTACACGAATTTTCCTCACTTCACCCAGGTGGGAATGGGTACCCAGCTATAGACAGCGAAAGGTCTTGTCAGTTTGTTAGTGTTTGAGCGCTTAATCAGCTGCTTGCACTGTATGCTTCCTGGGAAGCTGAGAATGTTTCGGAATGTTTTATGGTCTGCTGGGGTAATAATACAGTGTAAAGCGCATAGAGCTTGCTGTTGAGCGGGGATATGCGCTATACAAATGCTATCTATTATCATTATTATCATTATTATTATTGTGCGTGGTATTTGTGACTGCTGTGTTTTCCAATCTGTTTGAAACTATCATCATAAAATGTTGTTCTCTCCCGAGAGAAAATTCTCTATTCTGAATTCATATGATGCGCAGTACAAGTCAGGTCAACCAATACACAATTCATCTCAATACAAGCGCGAACACACTCTTGTGTTTATTTGATTTCTCACAATTTTGCAACGTCTAATTTTTAAGGTTAATTTTGAGGCTAAAATAGCACCTGGACATGGATGGCTGGTGCCTCTATAAATAAATCATTGATGGTCAGGTTAGTTTTGAGTGACCATATCTTGGGCGTCTATTAACATACACGAACTATTAATGTGTCAGATGATGCAGAATTTATGTAGCCTCAGATTGGTATGTTGCATGAGTGGGTAGTGCTAAGCTTTAGCTCGATGGTTGAGTGAATATATATTATATATGTGAAGTTTCTTTTGGACGCCACTGTATAATAAATAATAACTGACATTTGTACAGCATTTATCCCCTCCCAACTGCAAAGCCTTTGCACCTTAAATATATATCATTGCCCCAGCAAACCCTAGAACGCACAAAACATTCTCGACTTCCTGGGAAGCACACAGTGCAAGCAGCCAATTAAGCACCCAAACACTAACAAACTGACTAGGTCTTTCGCTGTCTATAGCCAGATACCCATTCCCCATTTGGAGGAAGTGAGGAACATTCGTGTAAAGTGCCTTTCCCAAAGACACAACATTGAGTCCCTATTGGGGTTTGAACCTTCGACCTTTGGGTTACGAGCCCAGCCGTCTGACCACCAGACTGCCGGAGTGGGTGGTTGGCGGGTGCAGTGGTGTGGTTTGCTTTTTCTTTCCTTTCATCCTTTCAAAAATCTATCGTCCTTATCTACCCTTCTTCTTTTTTATGTTTGTTACTCTCTTGTAACACCTCTAATCTTCTGGCCTCATATGACCTTATGCAGTTGTGAGCGCCGTAAAACCTGTACTAAAACTAAAGACTACCGGCGCCCAGTCGTCTTTGGTTGTTATCAGAAATTGGAATGTTCCCCTTTTTTGGTGGGGTGGGGGTGAATCAGGTTTTCTTTGATTTGTTTTTGTTTTATTTTGTTAGTGTGTCTAGATAGACATGTGGAGAGTGCTTTAGGCGATCCGGAGCTGAAGACATGGGGACCAAAGTCTAGATTGGATTGGCGCTCTGTGTGGGTGTTAGAGGTGGGCAAAATCCGGATAATCCAAAAGAATAACCGGATAATTCTCAATGAAACACTATCCGATTTCAGACTCTCAACTCTCTTTCCTGACCCGTTTGCGGAAGTGGGTGCACCCATTTGTTGAAGTAATGATAACCCGTTTGTCAAAGCGGTTCTAACCCATTTGCCGAAGCGGTTCATATCATATTATTAGCCGAAGAGGTGCACTAAAATATTACCCGGATTTTGCTGAAGCGACTCGTTGCCCAGCTCTAGTGGGTGTGTGTGTGGTTTAGGGGTGGAGTGGGGGGTTAGCGCGCGATGGGGGCGGAGGGGTTAGCGCGCAGTGGTGCATGTTACCGTGTGGAAAAACGCGATCTAGATCTAGGTCACCGTGCAAAAAAAAAGTAACGTCCGTTAAAAACAAAACAAAAAACAGAACAACGGCGCGCGCGTGTCATTGGAATTTTTGTGTGGGAAGGGGGGTGGGGGGGGGGGGGATGTGATTACAACCTGTGGCCGTAATACCATATCGTCGTATGTCCCACTTTAGGAAAAATGAAAACCTAGCATGTTATTGAGTACACATGTATTATGACTAAATGGGCCCCCTTTCGATGAAAGAAATGATCAGTGCATTAACATCAACTGAAAGTCATTGGCCTACTTTATTTACACTCTACTAGAATGGAGCAATAAATCCCGAGAGATGAAAAAAAGAAATTAATTAAAAGGTTTAGATATAGTGATGTATAGGTCGATTGTCTATTCCACTTTCGTGGTTGTACGCTCCAGAATTTCAAAAGTGTGGAAACAATGCGCACGGCTATTGAATGGAAGTCTCACTTGTTTACAATGGCGTCTTAGAAGACGGACTTTCCCAAGATTAATTCTAAACGAAACCAATGAAGAACTGAAAATTAAACTACTATGACTTCAGGCTCCTCAATAGAACTGTGCACCCTTTAAATGATTCTGAACCATCATCAATTTTGTCCAATTGGAAAGTTTAGTGGCTCCAAAGTTTTAGGCGGCCAAAGTGAGGAACTTTCACCAATAGAATAGATGTATAGATATTCACAAATAGAATAGATGTATAGATGATGAGGCGCGTCCATTGAGCCTGGTCTCTCTCCCGGGGCAGTGCCACTGACTGTAGTGTCTTTAGGCCATTCCCAAAGGGGGGGGGGGACATTTCTCGTTCAAACACTGTAGAATTGTAAATGGGCTAATTCATGTCAGGCTCATAACTGTGCCTGATCTACAACAGGGAACTGCTGCTTTTTTCCCCTGATCCTTACTATTGTCATTTTCCTCTACTTCTTTTGTATGTTTGTCACTCTCTTGTGACCTGCTATTTCCGGGGTGCCTTGATAGTTGAAGCAGACCTTGTGCTGTTGGAGCAAGAGAGGTAAGCAGAGTAAGTCTGATTCCCTGTAAAGACTTCTCTGTTGACACCCACCCCTTGGCGCTCATATGACCTTATACAGTTGCGAGCGCCGTAAAGCCTTCTACTATATTAATATAATAATAATAATGATAATAATGATAATAATAATAATGAGGCGGCTCTCTTTAAACCCCTCAGACGCTGGGAGCGCCCGGCTGTAACAGCCCTGTTCCCCCACCGGACGCTGGGAGCCTCTGATACTAGTGACATTTAGTGCCAGTTTTTGCTTGTTTTTCGGAACTACATTCCCAAACCGTGGGTGGTTGGCGGGTGCTCTTGTGTGGTTTTCTTCTTCTTTCCTATCAAACATCTATCGTCCTTTTTCTCCCCTTCTTCTTTTTTATGTTTGTTACTCTCTTGTAACACCTCTAATTCTTATCTCTTAGCGCTCATATGACCTTGTGCAGTTGCGAGCGCTGTAAAACCTCTACTACTACTACTACTATTCCCAAACCAAGTTTTTAAAAATAATGACCATGCCTTTGTTTCCGCCGTTTAGAATTTAGAAGTTTTAGGCAAACTTTTGGGGTTATAATGAGACATAGCGCACCAGGTGACTGTAGAACCAAAAAAATTATGGGGAACGGTGGAAAAACTCAGGGTTGAAAGAGTTAAGTTGTTCGCCTCTCATTCAATAGGTCCCGGGTTCGAATCCGGATAGCGACGGACATTTTTCTTCAATTGTCTCCTTTCACCTCGTTTCCTGCTTTTTAGCAATGTTCTGTCGTCTGCTTCCATTTTCACTTTCTGCCCCCGCCCTCTCACCTCCTTTT